TATTATAAGTTCTAGGTCCCAGTTATGGGAATTGTACTGTAGTTCAGCATAACTGGAAGGAAGTAGATTAGGAAAAGTTGTAAGTTTCGTATTCAAAATAGAAATGTTGTAAAGATATTTAATTCTAATGTGTGATAGTATTGTACCCTGAAAAAAGTCTCCACCCAGATAAACATGAAGGTCATTTAAGTATGATTTAAAGAGTTCCAGCTTGAAGGAAAGTAACCAATTAATTGTCTTTCAGGAAATTGGATGCCCCTGGAACTTCCAACTTTCTCATTGCTATGAAGTTAAGCTTAAATGTATTATTTCCACCGATAGCAGATTTAAAAAGCAAAGATTTGTTTTTCTTCTGGTCATTGTTATTCTTCCTCTAGAACTATATTTGATGCAATTTAATAATTTTAAGCTTGAACATTTTTTTTTTGAAAAATAGAATATTAGTAGTAGTAGTAGTACTAGTATGTTCATTACATTATATTACCAATTACAAACAATAGCTTTTATATACTTATTTAAGGACATTGAAATTTAAATTTTCCCAAACATCATGATGAGCATTCATTTTGTCATTTATAACATAAAATGTTTTAATTTTATGTTATAAAACTTTTTTTTTATGTTATAAAATTGCCAAACCCAATGAAACAATGATTTCCTACATTGTTTTCTAAGCATATTGATTGATCAGAGACTTCCTCAATCAGGGCAAATGACCAAATTGTATAAAACCACTTCTCAACATTAACCACATATTTCCATTGGTGGGCATTGATTGACTTTGCTGCTAAAAGCAGGTAAACAGCAACGTTCTTGCTTCATAATTTTTTATTCCTTCCATTGACTATATGTAACAAGCCTAAATTTGTTGAGAATTCAGTCCTTTGTATGGTTAATGCTGTACAAAATCTTAAGACTTTATTGCATTCCTACAAAAGTGGAAGAGAGGCTATTTTTTATTATAACCTCTCTAGCCCTTCATAGCATAATTATACATTATGTGTCAGATTTGTATAGGGGTTAAATACCACTAATGTAAGATCTTAAGGTATAACTCCTACAATGATGCAGAAAAGACTTCCCAGACCTCCATGAGCATTGCCATATTGCATTATACAATTGTTTGCCTAAATCCGACTCCCAGACTTGTTTCAAACCTATTGTAAGGAGTTGCCTGTATCTGTTTCCAACAAATATCTTGTATATAGCAATAAGGTGGGATGGCCTATGGGTGAGGGAAGCTGAACTCTTCTCCCTTGCCCCCATTCTACACATCACTACAGCCCATAGCCCCAAACCAAATGTACCACCCTTCCCCACTCCCACCCGCTTGGCCCTGGGAATGATTTGAACAGAGAGAAAAGTACATGAAGTGACAGATTCAGGGAGGCAAGGTAGAGAGATTTCAGCTTTTAACCTTCCTTTTATGGGAAGTTTATTGTACAAAAAAGGGGTTATACAAGAAACCTTTTTCTCTTCAGTAAGAATATCACAATATATGATTTTAGTTAAGTCCTGTCCCTAAAAGTATGGTCTGCAACTACACCAATTTCTTCCTCTCCCCCCAATTCTAAGTGCTTGGCAGAAGAATTCCACATGCTGGAAAGTGTTTCAACCCTTTTTTCTCCTATGGTAGTACTGATGAAAATGGTGCAGATAACAATTAGCAATAGGAATTGAGCTTCCACGGGCATAAAGGGGAAACCTTTTTCCATGCCCCTAACTGCATTGTGGAGAGGATTGTTTCTGTCAATTTCACAGCTGGGAAAAGAAGGGGAAAATCTCTAGTCCCCCCCAGCACTGGAAACATGATGGTCCTGCCCTCCCAGCCTTAAGAATTTTTTAAAAATCCTAATCTTGCTATAAACTACACCACACTAGTTAGAAATTCAGAGCTGCACAACTCTCTTGTGGCCAAGGTCTACACTTTGGAGAAGGGGTCTCTAAGGTTTATGTCCAGATGTGTGACATTGTCCTGTCTACTTCTCACCACCATGTCACCCACTACGGTTATCCCAAAAGAATGATGTGTAATGGTACATGGCTGCAAAATATCATCCTTTCCTGTCTTAAAGCTTCATGCTATGTGTTTAAAATGCGCAAACAGCACACAGGCAACAGATTTACCTTCACCTCCAAATTCATTGGAATATAGTTATGATATTCTTTTCTAAAAAAACAAAAAACAGACCCTTGACAGATGATGATATGATCCTCACATATTTATTTTAGTCTTGCCTCATTTCAGTCAAGTGGCTCTCCTATCCACACTCTCTTTCTGGAGGTGATACAGAAGCAAACTGTTGATTTGAACAGCTGACCATCTCTGCTCATTTCTGCTAATTCTCCATTGCCTCCAAAGATATTGAAGAAAATATCTTTTTTAAAAAGTGGCTTAAAAAAGTATAGTTGGGGCTGGAACAAAATGATGTTTCTTAGAGTGATACTTTGAATGTCTTTAAAACTGAATTTGAATTTCATTAACAACTCTAATGAAAATCAAATGCATAGTTTTCTCTCCCTTTGTTGTTTCAAAAGAGGCTTCCAGGTTGCCTTGTGTGATTCGCAGAATTTTATGAAGGAAACTCCATCATTTCTTATTTCTAAGCCTTTGTCATTTCCTAGTTTCTATTTCTCTTTTTTCCCTCTAAGCAATTTATTCTGAAATTGTAACTTTTCCTAAAATTGTGAGTTGAAACATTTTTCCTGAATCATGGCCAATCAGTAGACTAGTGCTGGCATTTTTCTTTCTTTTTTTTTAGTTATGGATGTGCTGGAAATACATTCAAATTTAATGGATTTTTTATAGACCAGTCTTGTTCTCTGCTAATTCCATTCTTCTGAAACAGGAAGTTTTCTATTCTTTTCTAGACATTAAGCATCTTAACTATACTGATATAAGGCATAGGGTCCTATAAGGTTCCTAGCCACACTATAAACATTGCTATCAAACCAAAGTGAGGCAAAGCAGATGCCTTACGTTTTACTAGAATATGAATACAATGCAAATACAAGTCTTTCTCTAGAATAAACAGCAACGTTGTTCCCCTCACAACTGAAAATCTTTATTTAAGATAAAGAACAGTTAACTCAGATTTATAATTAAAAATAAAGAAGAATGGACTATAAAATTTGTTTGTTCATATGAATAGAAAAGTAGTATCATTCATGTATTAGAGAATTTTTAAAAAGCTATCTGAACTATATTGTCAGGGATGCATTATATAACACATTTACCATGGTTTATAGTTAATCAGAAAAACAAACCTAAATCAATCCATGAGTTGTTTGTTTCTCTAACAATGATAGGTGGAAATCATTGGCAGTTGGCATAATAGATTCCAAAGGAACAAGCCAATTGCAGCTTTTTCTGAGCAATCCCGTAGCATTATTACCTTTGAAGGGAATAATGATTCACATTTAATCAAAACCCATTTTCATTAAATGATTCAGTGATTCACATTTAATCTAAAGCCACTCGGGGAAAGGCAGTCAGTGACTCTTCAGCAAGTTAAACTAAACATCCAGATTGCAAGTCTGGCAGATTGGAACCCAATATATCTCACCTTTGGCATTCATTCAGTGCACAGAGTTTGTTTCAGCAGCTAAAGCATCAGCATACACTTCAGCTGGAGACAGTTCCTAGCTGGAGAGAAGTGTGAAGCCAGTCAAGCCAGAGGAAGCCCTGCTCCATTCCATGGTTTTAAAGCAGTGTTTCTGAACCGTGGCAACTTAAAAATGTGTGGACTTCAACTCCCAGAATTCCCCAGCCAG